TTTATAATTCCTAATAAACCTCTTCAAGCAGCTGCCAAGGAATGTTAAATCAACTGGAGAATTGCTGGTGTCATATTGCCCAGAACCAATATCCTATTGTTCCTGTGGATGTCCCTAAGAGATTTTCACATTCTGCTTCTGGCCTTTTGTGATACTGCTCGGTCTGTCTTTGACCTTAAACCTCTTGACCTGGTGCAGTTAAAACCCCTGGCTCCAGAGTGCTGTCTCCCGCTTGAGCTGCTGGATCACCCAACTTTGTGCTTTGTGCCTCCTCTTCCTACATAAAACTTCTCTTTCTGCTTTGTGTCTTTTTAATAAAAGGAAGCTGGAGGATAGGGATCTTTACTTGCCTCTGAACACAACAACAACAAAAAACCCCAAATGAAACAGAACATGTTTAGGACTGCCATTACAGAAGATGGCAAAGTAAACTTGAAATAAGACCCCCTCCTCAGACCCCATCTCTAAGTTTTGTTTTATTGCAGCCTGCATAAAATCAAAGTGCTGGAGCCAGCTGCTGCTAGACTCCAGAGGCTAAAGGTCCTCATGGTTACAGCATGCTTTGGAAACTCATCCCCACCAGATTCGCAGTTAATGAAAATATTTGCTTTGCTTAATATAAACAAAGTTTATGGGTAGAGTTTGTAGAGTTTGTAATTAGGAAACTCTTTAATCCTTTTATCCTTTAGCTCTTAATTTCACTTGTGTCATTTTGGAGAATTCTAAGTAATTAAGAAAATAAACCTTTTCTCAGTAATCTTTATTTCTAGTGGTGCTAAATGTATTTCTCCCATCTTTTGTGTCCCCGTACAGATTGAGGGAGTTAACATTTGGATGCTTCTGTTTTGCGTAGGTCAGAAGCATCTGGTGTGAGTAGGGAGACAGCGCCTTTGTGGCCTGTCAAGCCATCTCGTAGACATTTGACTACCCAGGTCTGTGATGTAGGCAATAGAAGAGGACTTGGAAAAATATGAGATAAAACAATTAAAATATGACTTTATTTGGGTGCAAATGTTTCTTGAAATCGAAATCCATGTATACTTTTTTTTTGGAGAGGTTTTCGCTATAGGGCGCGTGACAGATAGAGACATAGAGACAGAAAGCAAGAAATCACCCCCCAGGGGGGATGGTCACGCCGCAATCCCTTCTCCTCCGTTCTCCTCTCGGGATCTTGGGCACGCACGCACGCACACGCGCCCAGCATGAATTTTAAGCCACCGGGTCCGGGACGCGAACTGTGGTCGACTATGTGGGAGTCCAGCGACATAGCCATTATGCTAACTGCTGGTCCCACTTTTTTTTTTTTTTAAATTTTGCTGGAGGGTATGTGTACTGGCCAGAGGGGGAGCAGTGAGAAATTCCCCCTCCCCCTTCATAGGGCCACATTACAATCTTTTCTTCTCCATTTTTCCCTCCTTTCAGGAACTTGGGCACACATGTACACACTTCCAGTGTGCTTCTCAAGCTGCCAGGTCTGGGACTTGAACCCGTTCTAGGCTATGTGGGATCCAGCTGCTGTAACTATTATGCCATGGACTGGCCTATGTGCACTTTTTTCATAATACCCATGCATGAAATTTTGAAGGCCCTTTGTATAAAGAAAGATACCGGCAATGTAGCTCTCTCTTAAAGCTACATGGAAAATCAGTGTCACCTCTCTGGTTCCCCCCTATGTCCTGTACGTGTAGCCTTCAGGGGCTATGGCCTGAGCTCCTTCCAAGTTCTTGTCTGTCTCCTAGTTTTTCTTCCCTAAGCATCCACAGATTGAGTGATCTGCTGCTGTTCTTGCAAAACATCTGCTTGTGTTTCTTTTAAGTTTACTTCTTGCATGGGAGAGGGAGACAGAGACGGAGACAGAGAAACATCAGTGCCTTCAACCTGTGGTTTCCAGTGTCAGCTGCCTGGATCATAGGCGCATGTCTTCCCAGAGTGCTCAGGGAGGTCTCAGGATGGGAGCCCAGGACCTTCCTATGTGGTGGTCCAGTTGCATTACCGCTTCACCATCACCTGGCCTCCTCCGCTTACATTCTTAACATGAGGGCAGGGTGGTTAGGAGGGGTTAGTGAACTGGTTGCGAGAACCAGGTATTGGACCTGAGAACACAGCTATAGGCCTTCATTTTACTTTTGTAAGTTTCTTCCAAGTGGTGGGCACTGAGCTCCAGAGGGAGTTGGCATTATGGTGCAGCCTTGTTCTGCCTGATGATCTGTTTTATTTCCAGTCAAAGGAGAGGCAGCCAGGATGCTTCATGCAGTGGTCCAAGTCTTAAGAGGTAATTTCTGAAAGATTCCAGGCTCATTCACAGTGGTGTAAAACTGGCTACTGTGTTCCTAGGGATTGGTGACTGTGGTATCTAATGGTGGCAGCTGGGGAAACAGTGTGGGTGACATTCGTAAGGGGCCCACGCTGCTGGCTGTTGCTGTTCACATGAACAGGAGGAAAGGGCCTCTATGAGCTCTTGCCTGCTTCCTGTCCTTTAGGGACAGAACTTTGTCTTGAACATTTGTATGATGTCCTTGTTTTTATAACCAGTGAGCATTTTCTAGCAGTTCTGGTTTTTATCCTCCAAGTGCCAGTCACTTGGGCAGTCAGTGATACATCCAGTTTCCCAAGCTAACTGAAACCCGTTCAAGCATCCCTGGACCATATGAGGCTGAAGTCACTGACTTGGCCAACTTACCCACTGTGGAGCTTAGAGCTTTTCTGTTCACAGCTCTGCTGGTTCTGAGTGCCTTTGAAAGTAAGGCTTGAGCTGCCCACCCAGCCTGGGAGAGGTTGGCTCTGTTTCCTCATGATTTCTGACATGAAAAACAAGCACAGTGGTACAATTGGAACTTGACTGTTTGGGTTGCATCCTTTTTGAACCTTGGACACAAAAATCTGCAAATACTGAGTTTCCCATCTGACTAGATGGCTTTCATTTTTCTTTTTTCAATAAATGTGGTCCTTGATTTTTCAGAATCAGGAAGGCATGGCAAGGACCAGTTGGATAGCTTTCCTCAGAAAGACTGGTTTGCTTATGGATATCTTTATGTATCTTCCTGTTTCTGTTGTCTACAATTTCATACTTTTTAATCAGGATAATGATTTACCTTCTCTCCTTGCACACCTTCAGGAGGTAGGAAGGGATGTCTAGTGAGAGGAGCAATAGTAGGAATATACGTCATCGGAGGACTTGAGGACTGGCTGTGTTTATGCTTCAAGAGGCAGGTCTCAGCCGAGATACTCTATTCCTTGCGCTGTATACTCTCTACACTGTGACCACATCTTCTGTGTTTTTCAGGGGCCTGCCTACCCTTGAATGTTTAATAGTTTACTTGTTTGTCCCCAAGTCATTTAGGGGTCAGGTACCAAGGGGAACCTTCCATTATTGCTTTGGGACTTTTAGGGCTGTAGGAGGTGGGGGGACCCTGTGTTAAGGGGAGTAGATGGTTGGGAGAGCCGAAGAATGGTGTGGGGGAGGAATGTGTAAGTGGTCTGGACACTCCCCTGAATGTTCCTTATTGGAGAGGTGTGATGGGTGGCCTGGGAGTTCTGGAACAGCTTTCAGCATTTGAATCTGTTCTGCTGATACCATTGTAAGGCCAGTAAATCCCCTTCCCTACGTTAGCTGAAATCAGAGCTTCTTGTGAATCATTCATACTTGATCTAATCTCAGATCAGTGGCTTTCTGGACCCCATGTTAGGAATGAAACCAGACCAGCAGGAGTGGTGCAGGAAGGGATATGGGGCAGAGAGTCACTGATGCCTGAGTGGTAAAGCTCAGGTTTTCCTTCTCAGGGTAAAAAGTTTCAAGAGTGATAGTGGAAAAAAAATCATTTAAAAAAGACTCTAAACACACATCTGGTATCGGGGAATTAGATTCTAAGAAGGCAGTTCCTTGGGAATTAAATTCTCATCAACTTGTAATGGATGATCTCACCTAAGGTATTAATCTCTCCATTTCAGGAGGTGACTTTGGTTCGGAGACTTCTCCAGTCCTGCCCCCCGGCCATGGTGATGACTCTCCCCTAAGCAGTCTTCCGATAGCAGAGGACACCTACAGGGTGAGCTTGACCAAAGGTGTCTCAATGTCTCTGCCTTCGTCACCCTTGCTGCCTCGACAGTCTCACTTGGTGCAATCAAGATCAAACAAAAAATCCCCAGGTAAAGCCACAAGCAAGCAACACAGCGGTATCCCAATGAGCTGTCTTGACTGTATATGTATCAAGTAATATGTGTATGGAAAGTCAACAGAACTAGTGCCTGGCAGAAAGCTTCTGGGAAAATACTTGTGTTATGGTAACTTTGGACGAAGCGAATATTTTTTTCTTTGAATAAAAAAGTATGCTTTCAATAGACCCATTCTTATAGTTTAACTTCTGTTGTTAACTTCTAAAACTGTTGGGAGTGTCCAGGCTAGGCTTTTACAAGAATTCAAGATCTTGTTATTAATATTAATGTTTACCATCAGTTTTGTTGTGTTCTTGCTGGTAATATAAGGAGCTCGTAGGTGGTACATTTAACGTTACAGATGTAGGGAGGCGTCCTGTCACAGCAGTCCAATATTACTGTGAAGTACAGTATTATATGCTGGTGAAGTTTACTTGCTTTCATTAGCCAGCATTTGAACAGCTATAAAATGTAACTGAAACTCAGAATTGTAAAGGAATGGGGCCAGGGTATTAGGAATTATTTGTATAAAGTATTTTGGCTTCCCTCATCATTACCAACTTCTCACACTTAACATTACCAAGAAACCAAACATTACTTAACTTGGAGAGGTTATGATTCAGATGTGAGGACAGCCTTTCTAAAATGCTTATATCTGCAATCATGAAAGTTCTTTGATAGTCTTTGGGGTTAGCTGAGTATGTTTACAAAAGGCAGGATAATTTAGGACTTTATTGATCATATGCCAATACAAGGATTCTTCTTAAGTATATGTAAACATATTTGGAAATCATCTGAAATGTGCCTGGAGCTGACATTGCTGTCTCTCTTTCTCGTTCCCTAAATATTTGTATACTTGAGGTGACACGTATTACCTCTGAATCATGTAATGGCTATTTGAGGTTTAGGTGGGGGTAAATTTAAGAGGGTAAACCTCAAGGCTCTGCATGTTAGAAATGGTGCTACAAATTGGTGAGTGTCCAGAATCTTTTATTATTCCAGAATTATTTTAGACAGCATTGTTTACAATCCATTCATTAGCTGAAACTTGGAAACCTTTTTGGTATGAAGTGATTTCCTGTGCCAAGGAATTTGATCTGTTTATCAGTATTTGGGGGAAATTCCAGGAATGTCCTTTCTTCTGTCTTCGCCTCCTCCTCTGTTGTATCTTTGTCAGATTTCTTCTCTTCCTTCAGATCATAGTTCCCACATTGCCTCTCTTGCTGGATTACCCAGTTGGAATTCCTTATTTCCTCAGAATGATGCACAGCATTTCCCTTTCTTTATGAACAGATAGAGCATTTGTCCTTTTCCTCTGAATTAGGGTGTAAAAGGGGGCTTCAAAAATTCATGGAAAATGGAATTAAAGTACAGATTTATTTACCAAAAAGTTTTGAAATCTGTGCTTAATTTTTTTCTTTTCCCTCTCTTTTTTTGATTTCTAGAGGGCATTTGTACTTATTAGAGAGAGAGAGAGACAGGGAGAGAGAAAAAACACCCTTCTCCCAGTGGGACACGGTTATGCTGCAGTCCCTTCTTCTCCATTTCTGCATCCTGTCAGGATTCTGGGCATGCATACACACACAACTGGGGTGTTTCTCAAGCATCCTGGACTGGGATTCAAACTGGTGGGCCATGTAGACCTGGATCCTTTAACTACTAGGCCATGGAGCTGGTCCCACAGTTTTTTAATACATGATTTCAATGAATTTTTGAAGACCCTTCATATTTTTACAAAATTATTTGCTAGGCCAAACTCCTGAACCACCTTCTGGGCCCATCTGTGTACTTCTTTATAAAATCAGTCTTGGCAAAGAAATCTGCTAAGTCAGCTTAGCAATAACCCCGCCACACACACAACACACACACATACACACATTCTTTCTCTCTCTCTCTCTCTCAAACCTAATTAGGTTGGCCATCCTATAGTATCCCCTAGGTGATAACTGATCACCCTGGTCTGTCTGTAGCAAGAATCCTTGGGTCAGTTTAATCAGAATCCTCTCCTTACCCTTACTAACACCCTCCTTTCAGTGCTTTAAAAAGTATCAGTGAGGGCCATCCGGTGGCATGGTGGTTAAGGCAACAGAATCCCATATAGATAAACTGACTGTGTGATTCAAACCCTGGACCTGGCAGCTTGGAAATCATTCCAGGCATATGTACGTGTGCATGCCCCAAATTCCAAGAGAATGGAGGAGAAGGGGTCGTGGCATGGCTATCCTCTCCCGGGGGGTGATTTCTCACTTTCCCTCTCCCTCCTGCTAGTCCATGCATCCTATAACAAACTACTGAAAAGAAAAAAAAAAAGTATTATTGAATGTTTTGCTTTAACATCATGTGGTTTCCTTGTCTGATACTTGAAGATAGGCAAGGTGTCTTACTGGTATACCTCATCTGGGAGCTGGTCTTGTAGTGCAGTGGTTACATGCTGTGCTTTGGGAATCAGATCCCATATGGCTGACGACAGTTCAAACCTCAGCCCCTGTGGCTTGAAAAACACACTTGGCACGTGTGTGCACACATGCCCGAAATCCTGATAGGAAGAAATAACAGAGGAAAAGGAATTGTGGTGTGCCATGCCCTGTTAGGGGTGCTTGCCCGCTCTCTCTCGCCTACATTCTCTGGTAATTAAAATAAGAAAACAGTGGGACCAGCAGATGGTGTAATGGTCACTGGACTCCCATGTAGTTACCACAGTTCAAGTCTTGGACCCAGCAGCTTAAACTCATGTTGGACACGTGTGTGTGTGTGCTCAAAATCCTGAGAGGAGAATGAAGGAGAAGGGATTGCAGAATAGCTATTCCCCCCTCCCCACCCTGGGGGTTGATTTCTCATTTTCTGTCTCTCCAGCCAGTGAATACACCCTATAGCAAAAATCTCTCTTAAAAATAAAAGTATATTGGGACCAGCAGATGGCATAATGACCACATCACTGAACTCCCATGTAGTCGATCATGCTTTGAGTCCCAGACCCAGTGGCTTAAACTTACGCCGGGCACATGTGTGTGCATACCCAAGATCCCTAGAGGAGAATGGAGGAGAAGAGATTGTGGCGTGGTCATCCCTCCTGGGGGGTGATTTCTCACTTTCTGTCTCTCTGTCTCTCTGTCTGTCTGGCAAGCACACGCGCCCTCGATGATTTCTCGCTTTCTGTCTGTCTGTCTCTGTCTTTCTAGTGAGCACACGTACCCTATAGCAAGAATCTCCAAAAAACGTCTACCATATCTGTATGAAATAGATAATAGAGATAATTCTGAGCCTACGTGTATCCTTATGGAACCTCAACTGAAGGTAATGTCAAGTGCAGAGATGTGACCTTGAGATGGTTGTCCTTCCTGCAGTCGGTACAACTGCAAATAAATTAATGTTGCTTGGGCCGTAGGACTGAGGAACACCTGCCGTACTCCAGAGGACATTGCATTTCAGATATAATTTCACTACCAGTAACAAATTCATTGTTTTGGTGATGCTTTAGGTAGAAAATGAATGATTTGAAGCAAGCCTGGGAAATGTGGGCACCCCAAAGGGTATCGTGGAGGCTACAGATGTGCACACAGAGAAAAGCCTGATGAGGCCTGATTTCCTCTGTATCTGGCCAAATTAGACATTTTTGGTTTCAAGAAAAAGTTTTTCTACATGAGAATGAAATCTTATTCCTAATTCTTTCCAAGAGCTTGATGAATAGAAGGAACTCATACTTCTACAGCATTCAGCCTTTTAGTAGATTGGAGAAAATAGCCTTCATATTAGATGTTTTTGTCCAAATGGTAATTAAATAAACTTAGGCAGATATATCTCCAACACTGTGTGTGCTGCTCAAATTTGTGCAGCAAGTGTCTCTCAATGATAATTTGGCATCATTGTCTTGCTCATTTTGATTTGATAAGAGAAAGATAAGGAAAGAGATGCTTAAAAAAAAATGGCAGTGACTCAGAATACATCAAACAATAAGCACTAGTTTTTTGTAGTGTCTAACACACATAGATTTCTGCTTAAACCATTATGCTGGAAAAGTATCCAGAGCCTTAATATTCTTCCTGCCTACTGTAAAAAACAAAGGTTGACATATGGTTATGAAGGTGTACTGGATTTAAAATCTGTCTATTTTAAAAGCTAGCACTATTTCTGCTAATGATACAGTAAGTACCCTGGGTCTGCTGTGCTCCGAGGGTAGGGAGTCTCTTCTCTCCCCTCCCACACCCACCTCCTCCTGCAGTGGGCTGTGCTTCTGTGCCATGTCATCATTCAGACCCAGCTCTGAAATTACTTTGATCACTTTTGTTCTAACTTGTAAACATTAGAGCCTTTTTTCTTTCTCTTATGGGGGAGGGAGTGGGGGAAAGAAAGAAGAATCCTGTTTTACTTGTCTGGATAGAAACTCTTTGCTAATTGATGCTAATCAAGAACCTGTCAGGGACTAGAATAAGGGTCAAATAGTATAAATCCTGAGAATAGGTACTCTACACAGCACAGCCTATATTCATGAAAATCTGTATATTCAAACAGTTGATGATTAGCTTCTGGATCTTGGGAACTTTGGGCCAGAGATAATTTCAATAACCTTTCAGTAAAATGACTCTGCATTTTACGTGACTGAGTTTTTTCCTCTCCACTTACATTGAAAGTTACTTGTATTGACTCATCTGCCACCTCCTGCCATTTATTTTTCTTTCCCCTGCTACTTGAAAGATTCCATTTTCCGAGTGTTGTTTCAAATTTTTGTTTTCTTGTAAATGGAAAATACATTTTCCTGTAATGAAGACAAGGAACAGCATCCATTAAAGCAGTTCCATGGCTGTTGCAAGTCTTTCTCGATTAAGAGTTTATCAGTGTTTGTAACATCCCCTTTTGTCCACCAGAGAAGAGAAAGCTCATTTCTTGTGATTTATTTATTAATGGCACCATTAGTTACTTTATATTTGCATTCCCTTTCCCAGATGGCTAGGACCCATTATGGAACAATCAAAAGGTCAGACATGACTGAGAAGCAA